GGGACCCCCCCCCCCCCCCCCCCCCAATCTATAATGAAGTGTTGATAATTGAACAGTTCTTTCATGTGATTTTGAGGTATATCGATTACACTTAGTATTTCTTGCCATTTGTGCTTATTTAAATGCAAGTAGTTTTACTCTTTAAGGCCACTTTTCACGCCTCACAAACTCTAGAGGAAAGTGTGAAAGAAGTGGCCATTTCTACCCTTCGCCCCCACCCCGCCCGCCCCCCTACTCTTTAGTAGCAATCTTTGCCGATAACTGGTGTAAAGTAAATGAATTGCCTCGTTCGTAATTTCAACCTTCTCTTTTCGCAATTATATTATGAAGTTAGGGCCCTTTTTATTCTTACCAAAAAAAGGACACTTAAAAAAAAACGAGAGAAATTCACACATTTCCGTGTTATAGTTGCCTCACACTTATATTTAAGCTTCATTATTAAATATCATGTCCTGATTGGTGAATTTCAAGGTCACCATTTAATGCCTCTTGAATAGTAAGCTTAAAGTATGGCTGTAGTAGAGCATAACACCGCGAGTATTCGATAACAGGTGATCGAGCAGAAATGGAAGGTAAAATATTAGATTTGATTGCACATGCGTCCCTTCGTTTCACGGTATTTCATCCTGGCTTTCTGAAGGATTTCCTGTTCATAGGGGAAATTAACAGCTTTAGATTAGCTGGTGTTTTCATCTGGTTGCAATGTACCATCTCCTCTCCACATGCATCCACTTAATTTTCTCTTCCATTATTATTATTATTATTTATTTGCTTTGTTTGTTTGTTGGGTCGCCCCCTTTCCCCCTCCCCTCTTCACCCTCCTCCACTTTGAAATTGGGCCAAATGTTAATAAGGGTGCTCGCATCTGGTTTCACTATGAAATATTTATGCCAGATTTACTTGTATAGTGATCCAGTGATAGATACATCTGTTCTCTCTCTGTGTGTACAGCCTTCAACAGTTGCACTACCAATGTGTGCGCACACACACGCACATGTACACACTTTCCCAACCAGCCCCTACGACCTTACTGTGTTTTGTACTCTTTTCTCATACACAAAAAGTAAATGGTCTTTTGTGTTAGGTATAAACATGGAGATCAGATCTCATCTCTTCGCAGTTCTACCTGGAGATGTGCCTGCATGTGCGCTTATCTCAATAGGCCTTGATTCGGTTGGGGTGGGGGGGGGGGGGGGGGGTTGTGTAGGCCTTAGAATAATGGATCCATGCTCTCATCTAGCATATTCACCTGGAGGTCCTGAAATTCTTCCAACCCTCGTTATTAGCCACACTTTATCAGTGGGTTGGGCCACTTCAATCGTTGGATTACGGCAATCGGAGAGGCATCTCTTACCTGACTCCATGTACCCTTTTTACTGTTGCCATCTTTTATGGGCCTTTTATTGCAAACAACCTGATTCATCGACGTGATTTGGCCATATGAGAGATAGCCACTGAGGCAAGATGATGGATTGATGTGGAAACGTGGACTGGCATGATTTCCCTTCAGGCAGTTTTGATGTGTCCACTTGCCTAAAGCAGGAAATGTGTGTGTGTGTGTGTGGGAGGAGGGGGGGGGGGGGGGGGGGGGGGGGCACTTGATGTAGAGTTGAGGTATCACATTCTGCTGATCCTAATTAAGCTCGAGGAACGCAAACTTAGGTGGTATGCATTTCCACTTGTGACTATGCTGTTGCCTGATTAACATCACTGAGCAACTAACAATACGATAGTGCCAATCTAAATGTTGCAAGTGGGGCTGCATGTATTTTATTTATTTGTATCAAATGGCAGGCGTTTTGATAGTTATCATTAGCCCTTACAAATGGCAGGCGTTTTGATAGTTATCATTAGCCCCTTAGTTGACTTCAGGCTTCACAGGGAAGATGGAACATCAAAGTAACGTAAAGTCGAGGGGTGGGGGACAGAAGAGTGATTCATAGATGTAAAAGAGACAGACACAAAGGTAGAGAAAATGCAAGGTGAGCACTGGTGAAGTGTTTGAATTAGACATACAGCGGGGTAATGGCAGTTTGAAGTCAGAAGTCAACTGCCGGTTTATTGACTTTTTTGCCGTATGAGTATTCGTTGCCCAGGTTGCACCACGTGGAGGTAAGTCTATCGCACACACCTGCATGTATTTTATATCAATTTGGTTCTGGGCGTTATTTACAAGGTCATATATTCCTTTATTTTGCAATGCGTTCGGTCAGTTGTGCAGAAATCGGGAAATATTTCAATTGGCACTTTATTAGCATTCTCACTTGTCTTAACTACGCTTTCCTCATTTACTAATAAGTCGATTAACATGCAAGGAAATGATGAACGTAGGTTCTGTCTTCTACCATGAGTAGCCTTCCCATATTCGTCCACCTCTTCTCGATTTGACAATTAAGGGAAGCAATGTGTCCCAATTGGGGGGAATTTTAATACGAAAGTCAACTCCCGAGATCTCCACGATGTGCGTGTGTGTCTGTGTATTTCGATTGTGAAGTTGGGGGTGGCTGACGGTGAGTAATGCCCTTAGAAGATTAATTTTATCCCTTCAAGTTGCAATGACTCACAGCCTCCTCTACGGCGTCTCATGGGAATTTGGTGGCAACTTGCGTCCTTTCGCTTCTCCAAACAAACCTGCCGGCAATTTGGCCAACTTTTTTTTTACTCGAATACGGATTCATTTCTATTGGCTGTAGTCTTGAAGAATGCGCCATTAGCAATCCTTTTACCGATCGATACTCATATTGTGTTCAGAATGAAAATTGTGGTGATCATCAATCCACCGGTTTTGAAATAAATGCCTGAAGGAGAGTTTCTCAGCTGACAAATTTCAGAGATGCTTGTTGAATGACACTTTCCAAAGGTAAAATATGAGCAGGTCTGGCATTTAGTTGTTTAAATTCCCATGCAAGCGGTAATATTTTCCACCACTCACGTGTTGGTATTGGTGAATCAGAGGGAAGCTTTGTTTGTGACCTCACAAACACGCTTGGAAGAACTTCAAACTAACATGGGTGAGAAACTCGAGTATGGAATGCGCTCAACACGCACACTCAATGCCATCCCCAAGTGCCTTACAGCTTCTGCACTTTATCTTTCGCCTTCTTTGTTTCGGTGTTTACTTCATGGTCTAACCTGTACATTCGTTTTTACTCCTGTATGTTCTCTCTTTGAAAAGTCGACTCGTATTTAGACCACACCGCCTCCCACGCAGATTTTGGTGTCTCGTGACTAATTTTATTGGGCGAGCATGGAAGAATTCGGGCTTTCGTTTGTAAATACGGATCGATGTAGGCATTCAGACGTCTGTTACTTGACATTCAGGGAAAGGAATGAATTTGTAGATCTCTAATTTTGTCTAGTA